GTGGCGCCGTGCGAGGGAGATATTTCCCGGTGGACATCCGGTCGGCGGAGCAGGCGATGACCGTGTCCATCGTGTCCAGGGGCGATGAGCGACGACGAAACGAACCAACCGAAGTGACTGATCGAGATTGATGTTTCACGATGTGTAAATGCACGTACTTAGTCCTAGTTCACTCATCTGTTTCAATCGAAAAATCAAATGTATAGCTCCATCTTTATATGCTATTGTTAGAAGAAAGACTACTTCCATTGCTAGTGTCAAGAAAACTGTTCCACTTAATATTTTTTTAGAAGAGTTTTAATTGGTTAGAATATTGTATATTGGCTGCTATTGTACATATTCAGTTGAATCATTTCTCTGATTATTTTAGATGGAATTATCATCAGAATATTCTGATAGATTCTCGGTGAGGTCAATGCACCTAGCTTTAATCAATAATGGCTATATTGAGAGGAATAAGTGTATTTGGAAGCTTAAGATGCCACTTAAGATTAAGATCTTTACGTGGTACTTGCTTAAAGGGGTTGTACTAACCGAGGACGATTTGATAAGACGGAATTGGAATGGTAGTTTAAGATGTTTTTTTTATGAAAAATGAGACTATTCAACATCTTTTTATGGACTATCATTATGCAAAGTTTATATGGAGAGCAGTTCAGTTCTCATTTGGTTTTAACCTTCCTACTAGCATATCCTCATATTTTTGATGATTGGCTATTGGGGTTGACAAGAAAAAGAGTAAACTGATATTTGTAGGAGCATCTGTCATATATTGGGCTTTGTGGTTGAGCAGGAATGATATGGTTTTTAACAAATCACCATCTATTTCATATATGTAGGTAATTTTTAGGGCAACTCATTGGCTCTGGTTTTGGGCACAATTACAAAAGTGTGATGAAGATGGAGAGTTTCTAAAAGTTGCATGTCGTAATCTTGAGACGACGGTCATGCAACTGTTTGCCAACTATGGATGGAGATTCACAAATAAGCTTGAATAAATGTGTTCTCCTTGGTTTGGTTTCTTCATTTTTATGGTTGGTGTGTTCTTCTATTTATGGACTACACTCTATTCTAGGGTGCTACTGTGCTAGTTTGTAATAATTAGCTGTAGCTCTTTTGAGCAAAGACAGGGATGTTATATTACACTAGCAAAAATGCTCATGCGTTGCCACGGAAAGAAAATACGAGAAAATTGAATTAAAACATATTAAATTCTAATTAAATGAAATACAAATTTTCTGGAATATTTGGGTATTTTTTAAATAGGTAGATATAAAATTAAACCAATTTACAAGTAAACTAAGTGTGAGAAATAAAATGATATGGATGGATTTAATTTTTATTAAATTCTTCATATTAACTACACCATTTTAAATTTTCTTGGAATTTACAGAGCTTAATTGCTAATTTTGCTAATACAAACATCATTTCAGCATTTATTTAAATAAAAATCCTTCTTTTCTCTATGGGCCATTTCCAGCCCATGTTCTTCAGCCCGCAAGCGACAAAAGTCTAAATAATATTCCCATACTCCTCTCACTTGCCGTGCGGCCTGTAACCTCAAATGTGTTGGACCAACAGCCCGCGTGCGGCCCAAGTGGTCCGGTCCGATGATGTAGGCCAGCCCAGCGAACGATCGATGATTGGACGGCTCAGTCGATTCCAAATCAATCAAAACCCTAACCATAACCCTCCCCCTCCCCCGATCGGCTCGCCGTCCCCCATCCCCCCTCTTACCGCCGGCCGCCTCCCCCGCCCGACGCCGCCTATCGCCCTCCCCCATCGGCGCCGGCTCTCCCCTCTACCCTCCAGCGGCGCCGCTTCCCCTCCCCTCCCCTCTCCCTTCTAGCAGCGCCGCTCCCTCTCCCCCTCTCCCTCCCGTCTCACCGGCACGGTGCGGGGAAGGCGGGGTGCGGCGGAGACGGCGTCCCTCCCCCTCTCCCTCTCCTCGTCGGCCTCGACAGCCGTCCCTCCCTCTCGGTGACGGCGCCCTCTCCACCCTCAAGATCCAGCAGCGCCTTCCCAACGGCGGCGTCGACAGCGACGACAGTGTCAAAGGCGTCTGCGGGTGGATCCGTCGGCGATGGTGGCGACTGCAGGCGGATCTGGCAGCGGCAGCTCCCTCCGCCGCCTCTCTTCTCGATCCCTCCGTTGGCGGTGGCAACGGCCGAGGAGATCCGACGGCGCCCCGTGGATGGATCCGGTGGCGACAACGGCGTTGGTGGCTTCCTGGTGATGTTTTTATTTTTCTTCCCATTCTTTTTCTCAATTTCGATTGGATTTTGTATCTAGTTTTTTTTTGCTTTATTTGCCTTATGATGCACTCGGAAGATAAGATAGATAGATTGAATCGGACTTTTTTTTTTGTTTTCATGTTTTTTTCGCCTTTTTTGTTATTGTGAATGACGGAAACGTTTTTAATTTTTTTACCGCTTCACATATAATCGAATCCATGCCACATATAATTGGATTCGATTTTTTTTCACCCTTTTTTCACGGATGGACGATGAAAACACCTTTAATTTTTTAAGTAGTAGAGATACAGATAGAGATTATCTAAATTGGCTGCTCCGATCCTAGATAGCTAGAGACCTGAAGTCTTGAAATTCTGAAGTGAGCGGGCCACCATTTTGCATTCGAATCGAGGACGGCGGCCTCAGATGGGAAGTTACGTTCAAGACTCCGAGTCCAATTCTTGTGGGCCCTAATGTCGTATTGGGCCGAAGAATCCCTACTTCCTACGCGTGGCCGTAGCCTAACGATTTCTGTGCTGTGGGCCTGGGCTTCTATTCCCACTGGACTATAAGACATTGTGCACGCGCGCTCTCTCTTTCTTCCTGCGATTACACCGAAGATGTGCATGCACACCCCCCGCTAATACAGTCATACACAAGAGTTGAAGATCAGTGTTAAATTCCTAACATCACTACATATTTCTATAATTCTATTCAAATATACTCGTGTGTATAATATTCGTGAGCAGGAAGATTTAAACTTCTCAGTGGAGTAATATACTCACGATTTCACCATCACACAACCACTCTTCCCTTCTGTGTTATATACAAATTAAAACTGCCTCCATGTGAAGGTAAATGGTGGATAAAATGTTGGGTGAAATTACAGCACAAGCCAAAGCTATGGACAAACGTGGGGCTGTACATCGAAGAAAGAAATGGAAAGATAATATACTGTAATATGGGCTTTACCTGGTTGGCTTGACCCAAATTATTTGTGGGCCCTGATTACATGCCCATTGTATGCACAATTTATATACGTACTAGTAGCTCTCAGGTCACATCTCATACTACACTAATGGCAACTTGTATACCCAGAAAGAAAAATGGCAACTAGTATAAGACTGGATAGAGTAGACCACCACTTCATTGGATGGGTTCTTTTGTAGATATATATCACCATTCAGTTCATTTTACATGACCAACTCTGCATTTATCGTTTGCAGATTTCTGTATCTTCTTTTATTCTTTTATACTTCCTGGTGGACGATAGTTAGGCCTGAACTTTGTAGATAGTACAAAATAAACTTCTTTACTAGTAATTAGAACTAGAACTCGATCATTGTTGTGTTGTTATAAATACCCCGTCGTATTGCTGCGGAAAATTAAGCTGTATAATATTTATAAATAAGTTGTAATATATTTTGTAAACCAAAGCAAAATGATGTCTTATGTTTTATATAATTTACGCATGGTTGCAAATATAATGCAAGGTGAAATTGATACTTCAAATTTTGAGCTTAAAAATAATTGAGATTGTATGGTTTTATGAGAGAAGAAAAAAGAAACTATGTGTATATAGATCTATCATTCGCAGGTTAGAAATAATTGGAATGATGTGGCTTTATGAGATAAGTAAAAAATAACATTAACTAAATTTAGTGGGATGAACTATATAAGTATATATGATAGGGTTTAACAGAACGGTCAAACCAAAATATTGGTTAATCTGGCATTGCCTTAATGATGTGGTTTTTAACCATAAAAATATATAACATTATGCAGGTTATCTTGGTGTGTTATAACTGGTTGTATTCTTGATGTATGATGCTATCATAGAAACAACATAATACTATGTGTAATTATGCTAATTAGTACACATTTGAAATTGGTAACCAATAAGCTTTTGTTCTAGTTTGGATGATGTAATACCAACAGAATTTCATATTAGAATCTGTGTGATTTTAAAAACGTTATTTCAACTGATTATTTTATTGGTGAAAGTTAAAGGTTTGTGACGTTTGTCCCATCACGTTATTTTTTTTAGTTCTTTTCTTTTTACTTCCGAGATCTTTTTGGTTGTCTGTCCTTTGGTAAGGACCGGAGACGTAATTCATTTCCTCTGTCTAAAAACATATTAGCATCAAACAATAATCAATAAGAGGCTAAACTGCAGTTACTGTACTTTATTCATGATTATGCTTATTTTTTGAAGCCTCGATGTGTTCCAAAATCACACTTTGAATTTTCTATGTGCTCGGTGATGCGTGCCTTTCAACTTTTTGATGCGGATGTGACGAACTAAAATTTGACCTGAGTTAACATACAAGAGATGATGCGCCTTATGTACATATGGACAGTAGATAGTTGCCGGACAGCCCCGCTAATAATGTACTAGTCCTTTGGAACTTTTTTGTTACCAGCACGCTCTCAAAGCGGAAGAACTACTCCGGTGGCAAACACACTCAAGATACATCATACATGCATCCATTTCGCTAATTAATTTGTTCCCTTAATTGGCACTTTGAATCTAAGAGTGTGCGGTTTGAACATTGATAAAACCTGCACATCAGCGTGAACTTGATAGAGTTTTTTTTTAAAAAAAATAATTAGGCGGTGAACTTGATAGAGTTAGATCAAGCCTTCAACTGCCGTGACAGGAGAGGCTTTGTCTCTGTGCATGTCCACGTGTTATCGCTTTCCTCACAATTCATCGCACTCTCGCTCGTTGATGTACTGCCTCCCCGGCTCCCCCGAAGTCAGAAATCCACAGGGGATCGGAGCACAGTGTGTGACGCGCGCGGCCTATAAAGAGACCCCGAGACGCTGCCCCTCTTTCCCCGTGTAGAGTTCAGAAGCTCCTTTGCTGAGACAGATTTCCGAGTAGCCGGCGAACGCTTTGCCTTGCTCGCTGTGTAGCTAGCGGAGGGCTTGGAGCGATCGAGCGATCGAGCGCGTTTGCACGGGGCTAAGCGTGGAGGAGAGGCCGGTGGTGAGCCAGCAGCTGTGCAGGCAGCCAGGCAGGCAGCAAGCTAGCGGCCGGCTAGTCGATCGCGCGCGGCTCCCCGCGCAATGGCGGCAGGGACAGAGGCGGCGCGGGACTACGGCGGCGGCGTGACGGCCAGCGTCGTGGTGACCTGCCTCATCGCCGCCTCCTGCGGCCTCATCTTCGGTTACGACATTGGCGTCTCAGGTATAGTAGCTGCCTCCCTCTTCTCATCGTATATTCTCTGCGAATCCGAGTTGATCAACTAGGTAGAAATCAACCTCTTGCGCGTCTCACCCGGGCTCCGGCCGGTAAAACACTAAAATTTTCGAATAATCAGGTGCGGTTCGGTTGGGTCGGGGGTAGGGCAGTAGCATTTTCTTGTAATTTCGATGAAAGGGGATGGGTAGCGCTGTAATTAGTTTTGGAGCGAAGCTGCGAAGCGATGTTTTTGCCGCTCCATCTCGATAGTATAATTTTTTGGAGCGATTCACCCCGCTCCGCTCTATTTTTTGGTGGATCTATCGTTTGGCACAGCTCCAGCTCTAGATAAGTTGGGGCTGGGAGCTAGACCTATGTTAAACGGGGCGTTAATCAAAACACACAAAAAAAAAATCCTCATGTTTGACTGCTCCAGCAGCATGTTTGTTGATCTTCGAAAGAAAGACGCATTCATCAAGCATATATCTTATTCTTCCTCACCAGCTGCCTTGATTTACTGACACAGTACCCTGATATGCTAATGGGCCAGACTAGGTTGGTTGGTTGGGACCACCGAACCATCCTAGGCAAGTACTATTCTGTTTTGGGATTTGGGTTGTGGAAAAAGCCAGATTTAATTATGTGGCGCTAAAAGAAATACTTGCCCTTCACATAATTTTGGAGGCCGGGTTTGTGGCATTTTGCCTTTAACGTACTGTCATGAGGTTCATTTTATCAGCATTTGGGTTCCAATAATTAAGGCCATGATTCCAAACCAACAAAGGAATTACTTCTTCCCCTTCCAAAGTTAGTGGGTGATAATATGGTGTCACGCCCCGAACTAGTCCCGACCGGGACTAGCCCGTGACGCTCCAAATTAACCTGTTAATCGATACCAGTCCCAGAAAACAGTGCTGGTATCACAGGAAGACAGAATATCACAGCAACAGAGGTCTCTTTATTATAGAGTAGGGGTACAGTCATGTTGGGCTGCGGACAGATCCCGAGCTTACAACTGCATTACAAAAGGGAAGCGGAAGCCAAGACTTGGACCAAACATCACAGGCGCGACTTGGGGACTAGGCCGAAACCCTAAAACTCATCGTAGCCGGCTTGCTCCTGGAAGAACTCCTCGTCAGCGGGATCCGCTTCATCTTCTTCAGCAACTGGGGGGGTTATTTATATAGAGCAAGGGTGAGTACAGGAGTACTCAGCAAGCCATGGGAAATAAGTGTTTAATGCAGGCTTCAAAGAAAGACTATTGTTTTTGCAATTGATTTTATTTGAACTCTTTTCTGAAACAACGAAGTGAGTGCTTCTCAAACGACACGGATGAGACAGTGCGTCTCGTCCGGTCGGAGTATGTGCAATGTTTCAGTCTTTTGAATTGATCAAGATTGGCATCCGGCCAACAGCTTTCAAACGGCCACCCGGGCCTGGCTGATCCCATCAGCCGCAGATTTTCCAAACATCAAACCCATTCCACAACAGCAAATTTCACAAGGCAGTAGTCAAACAAAACTACGCTAGGAATCACCTCACATCCGCCCATGACCGTGGGCACGGCTGTTCGAACAGTTTTAATAACCTCTGCAGAGGGGGTACACTTTACCCACACGACATTACTAACCCGGATCATCCAGCCCGTGCAGAACGGCCACGACTAGAGACCTTAAGGCTTTCATGACAAGGCATTTCGAAAGCCGACACAGGTTCACCATATGCCAACGAGAGGGGTCCCAGACCAACACCAGATTAGGTCCCAGACCATACTGTGCCAGGAAGCCCAGGGGTCCTCCCCGATACCACCCCGGCGAATCCACATGTCTCTTAGTATCAAGGTTCCCCCGATAAGCTAGTTACTCAGCCAGGGGTGTCCCATTCCACCCATGTGGTCGTACTTGTCTTATGTTCGGAGGAGATGGATTGAGGAGGGAGAACGGGGAGATGCGCTATCGTGCGGACGGGGCGCAGTGACGATGGGCCGACGGCACGGGAGTGATCTCTCCGGCCTTGGGCCAGGGAAGAGGAGGAAGACGAGCTCCCGGAGTCCCCTTCCGCGTCCACGAACGCACCGGCTCTCCCGGTGCTTGGCGATGGACGGCGGAGGCGAGATAGAGGGGCGGCAAAGGCGCGGTGGCGGCGAGCGAAACGGGAGGAGGAATTGATGGGAGGGCGCCTTGGTTTATAGGACGACGATGTCGGTTTGGAAACCGACCTTGGGCGGTCAAGGCGCGAGCTGGCGCTCGGCGCTCGCGGCCAAAACGGTGACAGAGACGGATGACGCCGGCGGGGAGGGGAAAAGGAAAAAAGGAAGGGAGAAAGGGAGCTTGCCCCTTGCCTCTTTGGGGAAAAGGAGGAGGGAGCGAGGGCGACGCGGCAGAGGGAGGAGGAGCTCTGCCTCCGTCCCTTGGAGGCTAGCGCGTGGAGTGGCGGAGGCCGGGTCGTGACGACGGCGATGACGGCCGGGCGGTTTGGAGCGGAGCGACGACACGGGCGGCAGGCGCGGCAGGCGCTGACGGCGGCGGCGACTGGCCGGTCGGCCACCATGGCGCGCGCGCGCGGGAAGCAACGGGCGGCGCAGCGATTTGGGCGGCGTCGGCGGGAAACGGCAGCGAGGGCGGAGGGCGCTCGGCTCGGCGCGGCTCACGCGCACGCGTGCGCAGCGCACGGGCAGAGCGGGGGAGAGGGAGAGAGAGAGAGAGAGAGAGCCGGGGAGGGAGGGGGAGATGGGCCAAGAAGGATTCGGCCCATTGAACCCGAGGGAGGCGAAATAGACTTTTGTGGAGGGATTTGATTTGGGAAGGATTTGGATTCGGGATGAACTCGATGATAGATCGAGGATTTGAGATCTGAGATGGCACGGACACTAGACAACAAGCAAAGAAACAGATTTCGCAATTAGGATTTTTAAGAGATAGTTTTCCCGCTAGGCGTCACGACGGAACGGGCGCTACATATGGGTGGGTTTAGTTCACACCAAAATTAAAAGTTTGGTTAAAATTAAAACGATGTGATGGAAAAGTTGAAAGTTTGAAGAAAAATTTTGGAACTAAACTCGGCCATGTAGTGTAGGTATCGAATACTTCTGTTGTTTGATTGGTCGATCAAAAGGTAGATACTAGGTTACCCAGAATTCTTCTGTCGCGTTCGCGAAAAATAAACCCAGAATTCTTTTGTCAGAGATGGGCACACAGTTCTACGTTTTCCTTCGCGCCACAGGCAGCTTTAGAACTCATTTGATATAGAGGATTTATAGGAATTTTTGCGTAAATTGAACTGCTTCTTGTGAAATTTATGTAAAATTTTATCCTTCCGAAAGGTCGAAAGGAGCCCTTATATTGAATACCGTAGATATTTGGATTGAAATCAATTTCTATTTAAAACCATTTTCGCTCCTAGCTAGAAACATCTCCATCCTCCTAAATTTAGTAGCGCCGCCTAAAGTTTTATCAAGATATATAGAGAATAAACTTATCCTTTCAGTTGGCCTTTTGTTAGTTGGAAAAATTGCTCTCTAGTTATATATGATGTAGATGTCATCGCTGACTTGGTGGATAAGGTGCTCAATTGTTTGTTCTTATTAATAGTTCCATTTGATACAGAGTCTGATGCAAGGAATATTGTATTATCAGAGTCACTACATAGTACATATCTGGGAATCAAATTTGACTTAGCTTTAAAAAATCCACACCATATATATTGTCTACAAGATAAAGCAAGATTTAGCTAAAATATTGTACAGGTCAAAAATAATCTTGGACATATTCATTAGCAATTTTTTTAAGATCACAGATTTTTTTTAAAAAAAAGAAATTGTTTTGTCATGGAGAGCTCCAAGCCTCCAAAAACTAGCTAGGCTGTCCTTGAGAGGCTACGATGCTTGCCAGCTGAGCCTGAGTACCTGTTATTTTCACCGTTGCTAGTGATCGACCGATCGCTTGATAGCTCTAGCTCTAGCTAGAATCTTATTCCAATCGAATTTGATCGAGTTTCATTATGTTGCTTAACACGGAAGCTAACAAGGATATGTCAAAAGCACCAACACATTTTGCCAAAAAAGCATGTAGGGAATCAGATCTGCAGCAATGCTTCAGGGACGTAATTAACACCACAAATTATTCACTAGATTATTGAAGCAGATTATTTGCTGATCACTCGTTTTAAGTCATCTTTTAAGTTTGTTTTTTTCTAAAACATCTAATTTATCAAGTAAATAATCCGTCACAATAATCCGCTAAACAATCCGAAAGGAAAACGACCTAAGCTAGGCACTTCACAATTATATTAGCAAACGCAGCCAAAGTCCACTGAAAGAGTTACCCGATCGAAAAGCCACACGCTAGCTGCCCAAAGTGGATAGAGTATATATGAACGTGCAGAGGCCAGGGCCCAGGGGAACATGTGTGCACTACTTGCACTCATGCAACCTATCGAAGTGCTGTGTACAAGTGCTTAGTGGCAGTGCTCACACAACCAGCGGACTTGTCTAGCTGTGAGATCAATCAGCAAGTAGTAGTAAGTTGCTATGCTTAGGGCCTGTTTAGTTGGTAAAATAAAAATTTTTAGTTGTTACATCGGACGTTTGATCGAATGTTGAAAGGGGTTTTCGGACACGAATGAAAAAACTAATTTCATAACTTGTCTGGAAACCGCGAGACGAATCTTTTGAACCTAATTAATCCGTCATTAGCACATGTGAGTTATTATAGCACCTATGACTAATCATAGACTAATTAGGTTCAAAAGATTCGTCTCGCGATTTACATGCAAACAATGCAATTAGTTTTTATTTTTATCTATATTTAATGTTCCATACATATGTTCGAAGATTTGATGTGATATTTTTAGAAAAAAATTCTGGAACTAAACAAGCCGTAGTAGTAGTTGCTCTGCTTGACTTGTTTCTGTCCACTGACTTGGGAGGACACCTTTCTTTTTTTTTACCTTTGTGTAAAAAGGAAAGGCAAAAAAAAGGCACAATTGACTTCTGACGGGCATGATTGGAAATGACCTGAGAAATGAATTAGAATAAGCACATGTGGCATCCATTACTGTTTATCTAGTGGGTAGTCAACACCGAATATGTCAAATCGACAGTACATATATGATGTACACTGATGAAATCGGCAGATGTGTGAATTTTTTTTAACCTTTTCAATTTTTAATAAAAGTAAATCTTTCCAAAATTTGAAAGGGCTAGCCGTGACCAAAAGGTTCATATTTCGGAAATAAATTTTGGAAGGGCCTATTTTTAAAATTAAAACTGAAAAGTTAAAAAAAAAGTCCAGATGTGTGTACGCTAGCTTGCAGATACGTATGAAGTTTGAAAAAGACCCAAAAGATCCATCCGTGATTGACGGGTACTATATATATCACAAAAATTCAACCAGCAGTTAAACAAATCATACAAGGACTCTCGTGTGGTAACCGTGATATATTTATGATAGAGATGATGGTTGACAATCGTGTAGTAGCAAATAAAACTAATGGTCAGAATTTCCATTTTCGGCCGACGATATCCGTGCATCACCATGACTGTTACAAAATACAAATGGTCAACAACTTCTACTGTTGTGCCGACGACATTTTCTCTCTCTCTCTCTCTCTCTCTGTTGCACAGGTGGTGTGACGCAGATGCAATCGTTCCTGACCAAGTTCTTCCCGGAGGTGGTGAAGGGGATGCGTGGCGCGAAGCGGGACGCCTACTGCAGGTACGACAACCAGGTCCTGACGGCGTTCACCTCGTCGCTGTACATCGCCGGCGCGGTGGCGTCGCTGGTGGCGAGCCGGGTGACCAGGATGGTGGGCCGCCAGGCCATCATGCTGACCGGCGGCGCCCTCTTCCTCGCCGGCTCCGCCTTCAACGCTGGCGCCGTCAACATCGCCATGCTCATCATCGGCCGCATTCTGCTCGGCGTCGGCGTCGGCTTCACCACGCAGGTCGCGGCCCATTTAAATTTAGCCCAACAAATATATCAGGCTTAGACTTGGCCCAACCCACTAAGATAAACTTATTGAGGCCCACCATATTAAATGGGCCCATTTGGAAAAAATTGCTTTTGCGTCGCAGGCGGCTCCGCTGTATCTCGCCGAGACAGCGCCGGCGAGGTGGCGCGGGGCGTTCACCGCCGCGTACCATATCTTCCTCGTCATCGGCACGGTGGCCGCGACGGCCGCCAACTACTTCACGGACCGAATCCCGGGCTGGGGGTGGCGCGTCTCGCTGGGCCTCGCGGCGGTGCCGGCCACGGTCATCGTGGTGGGCGCGCTCTTCGTCCCGGACACGCCCGCTAGCCTCGTCCTGCGCGGGCACACGGAGAAGGCCCGCGCGTCGCTCCAGCGCGTCCGCGGCGCGGACGCCGACGTCGACGCCGAGTTCAAGGACATCATCCGCGCCGTCGAGGAGGCGCGGCGGAACGACGAGGGCGCGTTCCGGAGGCTGCGTGGCCGTGGGTACCGGCACTACCTGGTGATGGTGGTGGCCATCCCGACATTCTTCGACCTCACCGGCATGGTCGTCATCGCCGTCTTCTCGCCGGTGCTGTTCCGGACGCTCGGGTTCAACAGCCAGAGGGCCATCCTTGCCTCCATCGTACTTACCCTCGTCAACTTGTGCGCCGTCGTCGTGTCTTCCTTCACCGTCGACCGCGTCGGCCGCAGGTTCTTGTTCCTCGCCGGCGGCACCGCCATGCTCCTCTGCCAGGTAGTACCATGCAACTCACTCTCCATTGTTACGTCACAAGTTTCAGATAGTTTTAATTAACTTTTAAACCGTGTGTGACTAAAATCAATCAAGGTGGCGGTGGCGTGGATACTGGCGGAGCATCTCGGGAGGAGCCACGCGGCGGCGACGATGGCGAAGAGCTACGCGGCGGGGGTGGTGGCGCTGATGTGCGTGTACACGGCGAGCCTCGGCCTGTCATGGGGACCGCTCAAGTGGGTGGTGCCGAGCGAGATCTACCCGGTGGAGGTCCGGTCGGCGGGGCAGGCGCTGGGCCTGTCCGTCTCGCTCACGCTCTCCTTCGCGCAGACGCAGGTGTTCATGTCCATGCTCTGCGCCATGAAGTACGCCATCTTCCTCTTCTACGCCGGCTGGGTCCTCGCCATGACGGCCTTCATCGCGCTGTTCCTCCCGGAGACCAAGGGCGTCCCACTGGAGGCCATGCGCGCGGTGTGGGCGAAGCACTGGTACTGGAAGCGGTTCGCCATGGACGCCAAGCTGGACGCCCAAGTGAACTGCCTCTAAGACTGTCATTGTTACAGCGGTGTGCGCGCGCGGAAAACGATTCTAAACTCTCGACGAGACATCCCTGTGTCTATATGGTATCAAAACAGTTATGAAAATTTTAACTTGCATGCATGCCATCTAAGAAACGAGGGACTTTTCCAGGAGAGTTTAGAAGAATTCAGTGTGTGCGAGCTCATCCATGTCTTGGTTGGCATGCAGCTTATGTGTCAGTGTGACAGTGTGTGACTTCATTGTTCTGCTGAAATCTTCAAACTGTGGTTTCGGTTGACAAGCATGCATGTGGTAAACAATGTGTCAAGTTGTAAACAGATATAGCTTATGGCCAACTGAACATGTCGGCGTGAGTTGGCAATAAGAGCGTCCATGGAGTGTACACCAACCAGCTAGATGCGTGTTTGCATGTTTTTGTTGATTGATTAATCTGTAAAGGGAAAGAAGGAGATGAATGTTGTTGATTAAAGATTGCTCAATGATCATGGGTTGTGTATTGACTTCCATATTTTTTTAGGGATTAATTAGTTGTTCTGTTGACACCGTGCATCACGTGTGCATGCACCAAACAACAAACCAGTTTACTTGGATGACAGCATATGAGTTGCACCGTGCATAATAAAATAACCTGTTTAAAATGGATAATCTATCGAGGCGTTTGTTAGTGGTGCTACTCCGAGAAAGATGAGAAAAATAAAACAGAGCAAATAAAATGTTTTAGAGCAGCACTTTAATTTTGTATTTTTAATAGCGGTTTGAGAGGAAAGTCTAAAACGTAGCTAGGCAGCGATGGAATAACGACATTAAAACTAAAACCAAGTACAAGTTAGCGAGCAGCCAATGGAGCTACTTGTGCCAATATTTTTTAAAAAAATTACACAGTACAACGCAAACACTCACAACGCACGCACACTCATCCCTATGAACACACGCACGCAAATCCTACCCCTATGAACATCTTTGAAGACTGGGCCAGTAAATCCATCCTAAAGATTGACGAAGTCATTACATGTGTCTCGCTGTCGAGATAGTAACCAATATATAGTGAAAAGAAAAACATGCCACGGTCGTTGCATAAATCATAAACATGCATGGTACGCTAGATATATCTTTCACTAGGGTTTTATGGGTTAATAATCATTTAATTTCAAGTAGTTTTAGTCAAGATTTACAATAAAATGATTTTTTTTTAAAAAAAGAAAACTATGCGTACGATGCACTGGTTAGTTGCAACATTTCAACATTTTTGTCACGAATTTGTGGATGTTGAAAATACCCTTGAAAGTCAAGGGATTTGCATTGCGGGGTAATCTTACAAAACACAATTTGGTAAAAAGAAATAGATATTGTTTTTAGCAATAATGAGACCGTATCCGGATCCAACATTTCTTTTGTCTCCCCCTTAGTTCATTTAGGTTGATGATTTGCTTTGTGCATCAAAGGTGTAGTGGCTGGATATACTTATTCATTTATTTAAAATGGGAAATAAATATAATAATATACTCTCCCCATCTTAAAATATAATACTTCTTGTTCAAATACCTATCCATGGATTACTATATTTTAGAACAAAGATGGTACTAAAATAGCAAGTATGTTTTACAACCATGACCTTTCCACAATGCCATGCACTTTCCAATCTTCATCCTGTATTTATGTTGGTTTTTGCAATGTGTTTTTTAACCCTGAAACAGCAGAAGAGATTTCTACTGTAATTAATGCAATGGGGTCATTAATGGTTTTTCTTTTTTTCAAAACTGTTGTGAAGGAGAGAAAGTGAAGTGCTTACTGACTCAAGTCTTCCTACACCTATAGTTGTGACTTGTGAGATAACTAGAAAATTAAGGCCTCTTTTGGGACATGGAAATTCTATGGGATTTTCACTAGAAATCACTTTAACGCAAGCAATAGTTAATAAAAAGCTTTAGAAATTTCTATCATATGTTATCGGTGAATGCTTGGGTCTGCAAAATACCATCAATGGACATGAGTTTTACATTACTATACTATCAAACTTCTTCCTTTTTGCCATCGTCGTTAGAGACATGTTAACCTTTCTCCGTTTTGGAGTTATAAAAAGTCCAAGTTACCCCTATTGTAACAGGGGCCATAAAAGACCGCAATGGTGCCCCTAGTGGTAAGATGGATATTTTACAGTGTAAAAGAGAAGACATGTTCTTAACGACGATAGCAAAAATGAAAAAAAAACGGAACGATGGCATATTATAGTGCCTGATATTATGTAAGAAGGAAGTTGTCGATGGCGTTTTTAGAACGAAGTCTTTGTTGACAGTATATTGTCTAATTTCTCTAAATTTTTTTGTGTGTCAAAGAAGATTTTGGTACATGTGGAATCACAAACTTTTGAGAATTCCTCTAGCTAGAAACTGAACTATATCAGTTAATGAAACACATGTTCTTGATATGGGCTCTAAACCGAAGGTGGAGTCTTCCGGCATTATCGGTAAAAAAGAAGTAAAAAATAATCTCAATGTCAACGCCCTGCCAGTTATTTGAAGCATTCTGCAATGTCTTCTTGCAATTAAATGGCGATATTTAGCCACTATGAGTTATTCACATAACCACTTGCTATGGACAGCTAGGCTGTTCAGATGCTGCAACCCGTGCATCTAAGCTTGCATCCCTAATGAGATTAAGATATCTTGAAAGATCGTTGTGTAGATACCACAGAAATATACTAGTATAATCTAGGCTCAAGTGGCTCAGAAACAGAGGCTTCCTGCACTCTTCAACGGATCCAAACAGAGGATGCAAAGCACCCGGCTAAGCTATATATACTGATATACAGCATCCACGCACAGTACTACCTTGCAAGTTCCAACCATTGTTATAGGCAATCTGATCAGAGCAAGAGAGCACACGTTTAGAAATGGCCGGAGGAGGATTTGCCGCCGCCGGCGGTGGCAGTGCTCGCGACTACGGCGGCGGCATCACTTTCTCCGTCGTGGTGACCAGCCTCATGGCCGCCTCCTGCGGCCTCATTTTCGGCTACGATTCTGGCGTCACAGGTGCGTACTCTACTACAGCTACAGGCCATGGCTACAGCTTCTTGAGCTGTTCCCAGCCCTGTTCTATGATCATTTCTACTAGCTTACAAGCATGTGGTCTTCAAAAAAATTCTTTCATGTTTAAAGCAGAATTGTTTCTTATTACATCCCCTCAAGGGATTAAAACAGTTTTCTCTTTTCGTTACTTATTTTACCTGGTTCCATTATAGCTGGTGTGAGAAATTAAGCAGTTTGTCAGAATGATTTATTTGGGATGATATTCTGATTTTTTCCAAGACTGGTCACTAGAGAACTTGGATTCCAATTAATCATTGGAAAGATGATGGATATTGAATTTGAAAATATGTATACAAGAATTATCTTACTCCATTCAAATGCATGCGGTACAACCGTACAAGCAGTGCGGATCACGATACACGAGATGCTTCCATCAGGCCTGGAAGAGTACACCTGAAAAACAAAAAAGAATAAACTCATGTGCAACAGCGCAAGCGACCATGTACTAATAAAATACGCTATCTGAAATTCTGAATTATTTAGCCATCAAGTCAACCCCTATTTGTATTGGAAATATCATCTCAATCAGGCCAGATTTGTTAGGATGCAGGAAGGCATCTATATATCCCGCCTGAAAGTTACGGGCTCCATCGGTTGCCTACGGGTGATTATAAGTTGTAACGGTTTATAAATAATAAAAAATTATTTATAGATGAAACTTTTACATATATATCCTTAGCCACTTAGAAGTCAATGTTGATGTTGAAAAAGCATCGAAATCAACTTTAAAATTAAGTTTTAAAATTTAAGGGGCTGTTCAGATCGTAGCCAAGATAAATCTTACCAAATTTTGGCAATACCAAAATTTTGGCAATTTGACAATATTGCTAAAATTTTAGCAGGATTTCTTATGTATTTACTAAAGTTTGGCAAGAAACTAAATGGATGTACATATTGGGCAACTCTACCCAAAAAATGGTATCGTTTGAAATGGCATCAATTTGAACAAGCTCTAAATTTTAACAACGGTTTAAAGCATAGAGTAAACAACGAGGTCCTTGGACTTGTGGCAATGCTCAAAATTTTTTTCTATAGGAGAATTATATATATGCATACCCATACATTGGGGTATTGTGTGAGTGTGTTTAGAAAATTTCTCCTTCCGGTTATAAATATTTTTTAATAATGTCCGGTTATAAATATTTGATATTTTAGAATATAATTTCTCAAAATCTGAAACTATGGCCATCAATAATCTCTACTACTTAAAAAATAAGAGGTGCTTCCATCGTACGTCAAAAAAACCAGACGAAGAAAACCGAGCGAAAAAAATCGGGCGAAAAAAAAGAGTCCGATCAAAAAAGGAGAAAAAGCGGGAGAAAAAAAATGACCGATCAAAAAAACGGAGCGAAAAAAAAAACCAAAAGACCGGGCGAAAAAACCGAGGAAAAAAACCGGGCTTAAAAAAGAGTCCGATCCAAAAAAAAAGGGAGAAAAAAAAGAAAAAAAAATGTCCGATCCAACAAACCGGACCGAAAAAAAATTGTCCGATCCAAAAAAATACGGGGCAAAAAAAAGAACTAAACGAATCGTTTAAAAAAAGAGCAAAAAAAATTTAAAAAAGTGTCCGATTTCAAAGAAAAAGAAATTATATGTGATACGGTGAAATAAACGACCGGACGAAAAAAATAAAAAAAAGGGCGAAAAAAACAAATATGTACAATAAAAAAGGAAAAAAAATCAAAACGAATCCGACTCCGTCGACTCGGTAATAAAAGGGTGAAAAAAAATAAAAAAAGTCTGATTCCAAATAAAAAGAAATTATATGTGACGCAGTAAATAAAATGGAATCCTATTTATATCTAGAAAGGTCCGACACTATAAGAAAGTGGCGAAAAAAACCGTTCGTAAAAAAATGCACTACAAAAAAAAATAAAAAGGGCGGAAAAATGTCTAATTTCTATTCGTCGTTTTAGTAGTCCGTTTATATCTCTTCTTTATCTCTAATCTAATCTAATCTAACTATTTTAAAAGAGAAGTTTCTACCGTATATTAAAAAAGAAATAAATGCCTGAGAAAATAAATACGGTTTAAAAAACGCGTGAGGAAAAAATGTCAGAAAAAAGCGCAAAAGAAAACGCGCTAGAAAAAAGTTCCGTAGTCCGTAAAAAAGCACACGAGAAAAAAATATTTCCATCGTCTATAGAAAAGAAAAAAAAAGCATACATGGAAAAAACTATTAGAAAGAAGCGCTAAATAGATAGACACTTGGTCGGATAGGATCCATTGACTTTTTTTCTATCTCGGGGTACACGACTTTTGTTTCGTCATCTATTCTCCTGTATTGGAGACCCTGCATATCTTCGTAGGCAATTATCATACTATTTTTGTGAAGTATAGCTACTATTCTTGATAATATATTATATGAAATAATATTAGAAAATAAACATATTTTAATTGTTATACAGATAAGAGTGGACAGTGACTCTATTTTGTGTAGACTTGATCATACGAGGCAATGCAGGACTTGATTGGTTGCAAGAATGAGATTAAAAGAATATTTTAGATTATATGCATGTTGTCATATGAATAATCCAATTATTTTAAGTAAAGCAAGCATCGTAAGGTTGCCATCATCGAGGTTGGGCTATTACATTTAAGATGTTCCAATTTTCTGATTGTCATCGACATGGTTATGCATGAAAAACGTATATTATCATTACGTTTTTTCACCCGTTGCAACGCACGGGCATGTTTGCTAGTTTCTATTACATAGCAAACATGCACACATACACAAACATGATGTGTAGAAAACACACAAGATATTTTCATGGGTACCAAAAATTGAGTCCTGGTAGGTGGAGTTCGTGCACCAATAACTCCACCATCACACCATCGGTGTTTCTATTACGAGACAATCCATTATGTGCCTTTAACTTTGTCCCAATTCTACAATATGCCACTGAGTTTACCAAGTTATACAATATACCATTGTATTTTGTTTAACTTCTATAATATATCATTGTCGTCTAGTTAGCCCCATTAGTATTGTACATTCCTAATGACTGAAATACCCCTGAAGAGAAAATTTCCAAAATTTGGCCGAAATTCCGAAATGTCATATTGTAAACTACCACGGAAATTGCCCATATCAAACTTTGGAAGTTTTACAATCTAATATTTCATGATTTTTTACCAAAATTTGGAAGTTTTTATCCCAAGGGTATTTCGGTCATTAGGATAAAATTGTATAGTACTAACGGAGGCTAACTGGATGACGATGATATATTATTATTATGGAAGCTAAGCCAAATGCAATGGCATATTATAAAACTAGACAAACTCTGTGACATATTATAGAACGGGAACAAAGTCAGTGACACAATGTATTCTCTCTTCTATTATCCTAATATAAAATTAATGGTTAAAGTTTGATAGAGGTACTACCTGATGCCTCCGAAAGGCATACAGAGAAGTAAAAGTGTGGGAAGGTTCAAGTTTTGATGTGTAAAATGGTGTACCAATTTTCCGGGTAAAAACTTAGGCATATACTCCACCTTATTTAGAGCCAAATTTAAATGTGGTACTGCTCAGAGCTAGGTTTGTTGTTCCTTTTTTTTGGGCACAGTTAAGCATGGCCAAGAAAAAAGACGTATACCATTCAATCATAGGATGTGTTTAGTTCACGTTAAAATTGGAGGTTTGGTTGAAATTAGAATAATGTGATGGAAAAGTTGAAAGCTTGTATGTTAGAAAAGTTTTAATGTAATAGAAAAGTTGAAAGTTCGAAGAAAAAATTTAGAAGTAAACTCGGCCATATTATTACTCCGTACTAGATACTGTATTACCGTGCTACTTGTCGGTCCATGACTCCTCGTTGATTACAGGTGGCGTGACGCAGATGGAGTCATTCCTGAGCAAGTTCTTCCCCGAAGTGCTCCGTGGGATGAAGAGCGCGAGGCGCGACGCCTACTGCAAGTACGACAACCAATGGCTCACCGCCTTCTCGTCGTCGCTCTTCATCGCCGGCACGCTGTCCTCCCTGGTGGCGAGCCGCGTCGCCAGGGCGGTGGGCCGCCAGGCCATCATGCTCCTCGGCGGCGCCATGTTCCTCACCGGCTCCATCATCAACGCCGCCGCCGTCAACATCGCCATGCTCATCATCGGCCGCATGCTGCTCGGCTTCGGCCTCGGCTTCACCCTCCAGGTACAACGTGGAACACAATATGATCAGGGTTTATCATACCGTACGGTTATATCACATGCGGTAATCTTTTCAGTTTTTTGAAACCACGGTGTACTCCACAATAACCGCATGGTTACCGTGGTAACCGCAAACCGCAGGGTGACGGTAACACCATCCCAAACGGTTTGGTAAACCCGTTTGGTTTGGTAACGCTGGATACGATACGATACACAAGGCCCAGCAATCTAGGCCCAGTTCATCAAATCCAGCTCAGTTCCAACTCTTCTTTTTTATATTTTTCCGGAAAAAAAAAGGGTTACATTTTTGTTGCTGGTACAGTCAGCTCCGGTGTATCTGTCTGAGACGGCGCCGGCGAGGTGGCGCGGCGCGTTCACGTCGGCGTACAACGCCTTCGTCGTGATCGGGATACTGTCGGCGACCATCACCAACTACTTCACCAACCGCATCCCGGGGTGGGGGTGGCGCGTCTCGCTCGGCCTCGCGGCCGTCCCGGGCACCATCATCGTCGCGGGGTCGCTCTTCATCCCGGACACGCCCAGCAGCCTCGTCCTGCGCGGCCACCACGACCGCGCCCGCGCGGCGCTGCAGCGCATCCGCGGCGCCGGCGCCGACGTTGACGCCGAGCTCAAGGACATCGTCCGCGCCGTGGACGAGGCGCGCCAGAACGAGGCCGGCGCGTTCCGGCGGCTGTTCAGCAGGCGGTACAGGCACTGCCTGGCGGTGGGGCTCGGCATACCGGTGTTCTACGAGTTCACCGGCATGATCGTCATCTCCATCTTCTCGCCCGTGCTGTTCCGCACGGTGGGGTTCAACAGCCAGAAGGCCATCCTCGGCTCCGTGATCAACAGCATGACCAACCTCGCCTCCACGCTGCTGTCCACCTCCGTCATGGACCGCACCGGCCGCCGGCCGCTGTTCATCGTCGGCGGCGTCGGCATGATGCTCTGCGAGGTGGCCATCTCGTGGATCATGGCGGACCATCTCGGGAAGCACCAGGGGGTGACGATGCCGCGGAGCTACGCGACCGGGGTGCTGGTCCTGATCTGCCTCTGCACGTTCAGCTTCGGCTTGTCGTGGGCGCCGCTGAGGTGGGTGGTGCCGAGCGAGATCTACCCGGTTGAGGTCAGGTCGGCGGGCCAGGCGCTGAGCATCTCCGTCGCGCTCTGCCTCTCCTTCGTCGAGCTGCAGGTGTTCATCGCGCTGCTCTGCGCCATGAAGTACGGCGTGTTCCTCTTCTACGCCGGCTGGCTCCTGACCATGACGATCTTCGTCGCCGCCTTCCTGCCGGAGACGAAAGGCATGCCGATCGAGGCCATGCGGTCCGTGTGGGAGCGGCACTGGTACTGGAAAAGGTTCGTCAACGACGGCGACCACCACGACGGCCGTGTCGTCGCCGACGAGGGTACCGATTAAACATTTATCCGGTGATTTGGTGGTGTGATGAACCGTGTGATGTATGTGCAGCTGCACGGCTGTGGCCGTTGAGCATGATCTAACATTTCAGTGGCATACATTGCCCATTCTTGATTAATTTACCCAAAGTCGTCCATCTTAGCCTTATACTACGATCGAGAGCACACACGCTAACTAAATTTCTGAGATCAAAGCCAAACATTCCGCATCGGCATATGCGGTGCAAATTTTAGGTCGACACGTCGCCGAACTTGTGGTCCTTGACGAACCTGCCCCAGTACCAGTGGCGCGCGAAGACGTGGCCCATGGACTCGAGCGGCACGCCCTTGGTCTCCGGCACGAAGGCGACGGCGAAGGCGGTCATGACGACGAGCCACGACGCGTAGAAGAGGAAGGTGCCGTACTTGAAGCAGCAGAGCATGGCGAGGAAGCACTGCGCCTGCACGAAGTTGAGGCCCAGGTTGAGCGCCACCGCCACGCCCTGCCCCGCCGACCTGACCTCCACCGGGTAGATCTCGCCGGGGATGGCCCAGTACAGCGCCCCCCACGACCAGCTGAAGCTCGCCGAGAAGGCGCACGTCATCACCAGCACCGTCACCGCGTACCCCTTCGCCATCTTGCTCCCGTGCCCCAGCTGCGACCCCACGATGCTCGCCATTGCCACCTACGATACGCGTCGGCTCGACGTCACTTTCTTGTTGCTGAAATGTTGATGTGCGCTCTAGGTGAGTGTTTGTTTGCATTGTTTTTACCTGGCAGGTGAACATGAGCGCGCCGCCGATCATGAAGAGCAGCCTCCGGCCGTAGCGGTCCATGGCGAAGCCCGAGCCGACGATGCCGAAGATGTTCATGAGGCCGAGAATGACGGCGCCCATCAGCGCGGCATCGCTCTCGAACCCGACTGTGCGGAACAGTATCGGGGAGAAGAAGGCCGTGACGGCCACGCCGGTGAGGTTGAGGAACACCGGGAACGCGATGGCCATGACCAGGTACGGCCGGTACTCGCGCCGCAGGATCCGCCGGAACGCGCCCTCGTCGTTCCTGCGGTCGTGCTCCACGGCGGCGAGGATGTCGTTGAACTCGGCGTCGACGTCGACGCCCTTGCCGCGCACCCGCTGGAGCGCGGCGCGGGCGAGGTCGTGCTTCCCGCGCAGGACCAGGCTGCTCGGCGTGTCCGGGATGAACGCCGCGCCGGCCACCATGACGGCGGCCGGGAACGCCGCGAGGCCGAGCGACAGGCGCCATCCCCACACGGGGATCCGCGACGTGCCGTAGTTGATCAGGTTGGCGATGAGGTACCCGACGCTGATGAACAGCGGGAAGCCGGAGATGAACCCGCCGCGCCACCGCGGCGGCGACATCTCGGCGAGGTACACCGGCGTGGCCTGGCCCGAGAACCCGAGCCCCAGGCCAAGCAGCATCCTCCCGATGATGAGCATGGCAATGTTGACCGCGGCGGCGTTCACGAGCGCGCCGACCAGGAACATGCTGCCCCCGATCAGCATGACGGCCTGCCGTCCGGTCCGCCGGGTGACGCGGCTCGCCACCAGCGTCCCGACCATGCCGAACGCGTACAGCGACGAGGTGAACGCCGTGAGCGCCTGGCTGTTGTAGATGCAGTACACGTCCTTGCTCGCGTGCGCCGTCCCCTTCAGCAAGCCCGGGAAGAACTTCTCCAGGAATGACTCCATCTCCGACACACCACCTGATGTTCGTCGCAGACATGAACAAGATTTGTATCTCAAACGTAACGAAGGAAACCGATGATAAATTGATCACTTGCAGAACACGAGCAACCCAGGCATCAGTTCAAGTTTCATCTTTGCGACCAACTAAAACTAGAACATATGAGAGTGAATAACTTGTGTCACGTAATATTTTGTGTTTTACATACACTTTTTCTGCCATGCACCAATAATCATACATGCTGGAGATAGTGGTTTCGAGGGATCTAGATTGTCTTCTACTCTTCTATACTGTAGACAACCATTAAGCTATGGGGGTAACAGTAAATTACTGTAGTGAGTGACACGCTGTAGCGATTACTGTGGTACTTTGATCTCAGTTGGGCATTTTCAAATTCCAATCAGATGGCAAAGAGAAGTCATAATGCAAATTATTGTCTCTTTCAATGGTAAGCCACATGCTACTACAAAGGATCCAATTCAGGTGCTGTGTATAATAATAGTAAGGAACGGCAGAAAAAGAAAAGCTTTTTACAAAACACTATGGATGCACCATGGTCATTTCATTAGAATTTATTTCTTTTCACGTTGATAGGGATTCCTAGTATTTCTATTTGACGCATTTTAGTCTTGATCAATCATCACATCAACAACTTATCTCCTTAGAAAAAAAATTCCGATCCTGTCAAAGCCCACACACCATCACTCAAGACATGATAAAAACCCGATTCCCCGATCCAAAGCAAGATTTCTACCATCGAGTGGCCTACAAATACTACTATACTCGCCTATATAGCACATACTAATAATCTCGACAAGCAAGCTAGCCATGCCACTGAAGAAAAAGAAGCAATCATAATCTCTCCTTTCTTTTGTTGCAGGAAAGCAACTGAGACCAAGGATTCCAGGAAGATGCCCGTGAATTACAGCTCGGGGTTTAGCGCAGAAAAGCCGCACCAAAACTCGCGGCAACAAAAGGAGGGGCAAATAAGATATACGACGAGACGCCACCATGACATCTGGTCTGACCGAAGCAGCAGATTGCACACAGAACGTCCAAAGTTGCAAGTAACTGTCGATGCACACCTAGCGACAAGTTGATGTACTACGTTCCGAGCGTAAGATGTGGGAGCAGCTCACGTCCTTTTCCCACATTCCACATGAGCCTCATTTAAAATTCATTTGGAAGATGAGGTAAATTTTGAGGTATATAAAATCTGTACTCATTTAGGTCTCGTTTGGAAGATGAGAAAGTTTTACACTATTAAGTGTGTGCTTCATATAGGCTCCCATCGGATGGCCCAATAAGCCAAATTTTGAATTTTCAAACTTAATTTTGAGATATTTTCAACGTAGTTTTTTTTAGCATTGGCTTTTAAGTTACAAAGAGCACATATATAAAAGTTTTACTTACAAATTTATTTTTATTCCCTAATAAGCCGTTTTGGCTTATTAGAAAAAAAAAAGCCAACCGATGGAGCCTATAAACCCTAACCGAATTTTAAATTTTAGAAGTTAATTTTAAATTAATATAAGTGTTTTTAGTGTTTTTTATTGTTTTTGTTTGGTATTGGATTTAAACCACTAACAGAGCTATATCAAATTTTGTCTCTATTTTTTTTTGCTTCGCTGACATGTTTTAACCGAAAAATAAATAAAAGAACAGAACTATATAAAAAACTAATTCTAAAATTTTGCGTTTCAAACGGGCTTAAAACTTTGAAATACAGAAAGTGGTAATTCCCAAGAAGATTACTGCTGCTATGTGGGAATAGAAAAAAAAATGTGCTGCTCAAAATAAAATCTCACTATCTTCCCTAAAAAAAAAATCTCACTCATCTAAAAATATCTCAGGTACCCCTCAATTCTAAAAATGACTTTGATTTTTGGCTCAGTAAAGCTCTGATTCTAAAATTATGTTTGGTTGTCAGCCACATTTTACCACAGTTTATCATGTCTAAGATTAGATAAGTTTGATCATAATTGTGGCAAAATTCACTTTTAATAAATCAAGTCCCACACGTTAATGAATCAAGAAAGTGTGACAAGATTATCTTAGACTTGTTAATGTGGGACTCAGAATTTAATTATCTCAACTTAAACAAGTACTAACAATATTTAAAAACGTGGTAAAATATAGTTAGGAACCAATCACACTTAACAGCCTCACGATGGAAAGAGAGTCAACGGACATACTTATGGGCTCTAAAGGTTTAACTGTAACCAACCTGACGTGTCTAATGGCGCTCCACGAGAAGATGGGTAGGCCGTACACCGGCCGCTCGCTGGCCCCGCCGCCGCAGTGTGGCCATCCAATTCGACCGGATTGTGTCGCCTCACCTGGTCCCGCCCAAGCAGGTGAACGGGCCCACGTGTAAGGATCTGCCAGGTGGGGCCCCACCTCCGCCTCTATCCCCTCCTGGCCGTCCGATGGCTAACGCGCGGCTCGGATCACGCTTCCTCGAAAGATATCTACTTCCTGGATTTTCTTCTGTGATGTGCCCGGTTAATCAGCAGCTGCTGTACGTTCGGTTTGACGAGAGAACAAGAGCTGCGTCCTCTTCGGCCTCTCTGGGCTTTGATTTGAATGAACGCGGAAATATCACACGAGAACTAATTGTTCTCCCGTGAATCTTCTCAAGAATAGAAAAAAAATATCCTCTTCCTCTGTTGTAAAATTCACCAGTTTGATTGGATTAGATTTGTTCGCTCGCGTGATGCTTACACCTGCGCGCTGATTTTTTTTTAGATTATTAAAAACTGAGGCCAGATTTGGACTACTCCATGTGTTGGGAATCTGCCGTGGAAGAAGCAGAAACGGAATAAAGAAACCAAGGGGGGCACAGGGCAGCAGTTGAGATGCGGCTCGGCCATGGCCGCTTCAGATCAAAGGAAAATGGTCTTGGCTTGTAGCGAGTGACTTGAGAGACCCAGGAATCAAGTCCTCAAAGTGGGCTAGCCACAAGCCACAGGAGAATCGTATCGTTGTCGTCGAGGTCGTGATGAGGGGAGATATGATGGATTGGGAGAATCACCGACTAAAATGAGTGGTAAATCAAATCGAATCCTACGCGATACGTGTGCAGAGATTTCAGAAGAAGAAGAAAAAAAGAAAACCACGGAATTAAACATTCAGAAAAATTTTCAGAAAAGAGCACCCCCAAACCGCATGCAATTGCAAAGTAAGCGATCGATCGAATCCGATCCATCTCCAGCGCACCTGAGATGCCAATGTCGTAGCCGAAGATGAGGCCACCGGAGGCCGCCATGAGGCAGGTAACCACGACCGGGAACGTGAGGCCGCCGCCGCTGCCGCCACCGCCGCCGTAGTCCGCCATGCCGCCGCTATTGAGGAGGGAGCCGCCGGGCATTCTCCGTCACCAATCTTCAGAGCGGCCAAATGTTGTTGCTGCTGCTGCTGCTGATGCCTGAT